TCTCAAACAAAGTCTACGTCCACTACCTTAGCTATCCACACTAAGGATTTTCAAAAAAATTCACTAATTTGTTCTTTCTTTTGAGGCCAAAGAGATAACCTTACAAAATCCCTCAAGAGTATACCCCAACTCTTGAGAACACTCTTTTTCCCAAAGAGAAGATTACAAATTTGCAAACTTACAAGAAAACCTCACAAGGTAAGATGTTTGCACAATTCTAGAACAAGAAAAGAACACTCAAAGATAATTACAAATGAGCACAAATGGTGTTCTTGAAAACAAAATGAATATTGAAAGGAAAATTGGCTTGATTTGCACAAACTTGATGTTTGATGCTTTCTCTCTTGTTTCTCTATGATTTCTTGTTGATCAAGGGCTTCAGAACTTGTTTAAATACACCTTGAATCTCTTCTGAACGTTGGGGATGATTAGTGAAGATCATATAGCCGTTTTAGTGTGAAAACAATTAATAAAACAGTTTGGAGCGTGGGGGGAATCGGTACCCCCTATGGGGAATCAGTTCCCTAAGTGTAAAATTCAAATATTTCGACCGTTGAACAGGGGGAATCGGTACCCCCTATGGGGGAATCGGTTCCCTCCGAGCATTCTGGAAATCTCGGAGCCAAACCATTCAGGGGGGAATCGGTACCCCCTTGGGGGGAATCGGTTCCCTGTGAGCAATCTGAAAATTTTTGGCTTTGAAATGGTTCGAAATACTTTGAAAGATTATTTTGAAATTGTTTTAAGATTAAAACTTAATTTTACACTTAAGTAAGGATTAAAAATGATTTTTGAAATATTTTGAGTAATGTTTTGATATTCGAATAATTATATCGAATATACTTAGAAAATCATTTTGGAAAATCTTAAAATTCATTTAACTTAATTTGTTTTTATCGAAATATCAAAATGTTTTCAACAAGTAATAATCAGATAATGACTAAGATAATGACCTTTAATGGTTATACACTGATCAGACATATGGATAACAGAGAACTCAATACATTTTTTCCAGACGATCCAAATCCTTCCATTCTCAGCAAAGTTGTAGTTAGTACAAACATTCCTTAGTCTTGGACCGGTCTAAAGTTAAATTTATGGCCACAAAAAAAATACCTTTTAATGACAAAGAAAGCAACCGAAATGAATTGGGATAAAATGTTGCACATCTTTTAACCCTCGTGTTATTATATTTTTTGTATTAAATTTTTAAAAATAACTATTTATTTATTCTCATTTTTAATCTAATATATATTTAATTTGTTTATACTCCTTTTATTTGCAAAATTTAAAAATAATTTAATAATCAATTTTTTGGAAAAAAAAGTATGAGAAAAATTTTGCCCCATCCACAGTCTCTCTTAGGGCCAAACTTCATAATTTACAAACAACCATTAATACTGGTATAGTTTGCTTGTAATGTAAGCATACATCGTGCACATACGCAACAAAAAATATCGTTTATAAATACATTTAGTCATTGTCTGTACCGTGCACATACTGCAAAAGCTTTTTCCTTATCAGTTTCTTTTTGATATCCAACTCCTTCCTTCCATCGGAAGTCTCCGATGGCACTAATGATGCCCGATTCAGACTGCCTGACCCAGGAGAAGGTCGTGATTTGGAGATGGTCATAGACAAACAAGAGGAATCCCCTCCATCTTATGCATCGATTCTCACTGGGAATCCAACTGGTAAAAATGGCCACAATGGTAGTTAGATGGAAGAGTTCAAGGAACTTGATCTGTTAGACGAAGACATCACAACTGACACTCGGTTCGGCATTCCTTCCATACAATTTTATGAGCGAGCCTACAAACTAATGGAAGCACCATGTCTAAAAAAGTTGTTTTGAAGCTCTTGAGTCGTAACTGTAACTCCCTCAGACCGATGCGGGTAACCCGATCCGATCTGGAGTGTCACATTAGGGCCATCGGAGCGACCCACTGTAAAAATAGCGGAAAATTTAAAACTTTTTATCAAAACATGTAAATTCATAAAATCATTAATCGGTATGTAAAATTAAAACAAATTTTTAGACTCACATACAAAACAAAATACAATTACATGCCCCCTAATCACATATACCATACTCTGCAAGCAGCACCGAAGAACTCCCTTACTGAAGTCGATAGCTGCACTGTACAATTCTTTTAGCCTGAAAAGATGAGTAATAGAGTGAGCTTTGGAAAGCTCAGTAATACAGAACTACCAGATGATGCTGAAGAACGTGCAGATACAGATAAACATATATTTTCTTATTGGTTTCGAACACCTATGGATTTTCATGCAGAGCGGAGATCCTACTGATATTTCAGATGGTAACGGACAATGAGCTTTCAGTTCAGATAAATACTTCTGATGAATAAGTTCAGGAGATCAGAATAGGTTATCTAGTGTGTTCCCGTAAAACCAGTAAAAATATACATATTTTTATTTTAAAACATATATATATACACCCCCATCCTTTCACAATCTGTTTGTGTAGGTTCTCCAGAACCATACACCCCGCACAACCAGTGAGGCCCTGAGCACACAGCCGAGAAGCATGCAAATAATCTTCCTCCAACAATAAACCACCCAGATAAAACATTTCTCTGTCGGTAAACGGAGATATCAGAAATCAAAACAGAATTCAGATCAGATATCATAACAGAATCCAGATCAGAAATCAGAACAGAATTCAGGTAATGTATCAGAACAGAATTCAAGTCGGAAATCAGATAAAATATTTATATGATTAGGGAACACACCAGAGTTTACAGATATTATTCAGAGGTACTGAATAATCTTAACACCTATGATTATTTGGATTCCTTAATTAATCCAAGACATTTACTTAGTTTAGGCCCCATGGACAATTTTTGTCATCCTACAACATAAGGGTATTTTCGTAATTTTACCATACCAGAGTATTCTCATATTTTTCCCTCCAAGTACCTTTAACATTTAACCCTTGATGATATAAAATATAATTTATAAATCCAGAGCTGATTTCTTTATCACCAATCACAAACTTGTAATTTAATTCTAACAATCCCCCAATCTCTTATATTAGTTATTTGATCCTTATTCAGTTACAGAATTTCTACCACATTCATATCAAGTGTATAAATTATTCAACTCCACAAAAGTGATCAACATTATCTTATTCGTGCATTTACCAATATCAACATATTTCATAAAGCATAAAGAGGTAGTAAAGTATTACCTCGATTTTTATGCCATACTGATCGACCATTAAATTCCATTCGAACGCCCTCGATCTTGAAATCATCTTCCAATATATCCTCGGATCCATATCAACAAAAATTATATCAGAAACGGAACTTAATTGAGATAAACAGTTCAAATCGGATGATAAATTAGTTAAAACCAACTTACCGATTTGGAATTTGGTGAAACAGACTTCAGATTCGGATTCAAGGCGTCGAAAGCATAAAATATGACCTTTCAAAAATTTGGAATTTTCGGTCAAAATAAAAGTCAACAGGTTTGACTGGCAATTTTGAGGCCTTCGGGTCTGAATTTTGAAAAATGGACTGCGGAATCGGATTTGGAACGTCGAAAAATGTCAGGATAGGTATACTCGATCAAAGTCAAAGGTAAACGGGTCGGACAAAGTTTTGGTCAACTGTGGTCAACACCGGTCAACGGTAAACGGGTCGGGTCGGGTTGAAATCGGTCAAATGGGTTCAAAACCGGTCAAACCGATCATTTGGACCATCCCCACGCACAGTGGTAGCACGTAGCGCGTGGGGGCGCGTGGGACCTATTCCGATAGCCTAAAAATCACGGAAAAATTCTTTAAAATTATTTTAAGCGATTTCGAGGCACTTACAAAGCTTGGTTCACAATTTTGAACGGCGGAGTGCTCGATTTCAACGAATCGGAAACTTTGACGGCTTTACCTCCTCACGCGCCGCCGTCGACAGAGACCAAGGATGACACCGGCAGACTCGGAACGATGCAAGAAACACGATGGTGTGGGAGATGTCGTAAACGGATTATCGGATCGTCGTGAATCGATGAAAAAGCAATTGAAATCGAGTTATTACCGAAGATACTTCCGACTGAAATTAATGACGAACGACGACGATTCACGATGAAAGGTTTGAGGGGTTTTGTTCCTCAGTTGATAACGAACACGATGGTGGTTTCGGTTCGTTGAGCGGAGGTCGAACGGCGAATAAATCGGAGTTGAAATTTAGTGAGGGAGAAGAGAAAAATTAGAAATATGCAGAAAAACACAAGGCAATGGGTGTGTTATAATTCATCCCAAAAGAAAAATGGGTAAACTATGAGTTTAGCCATTGAATTTCTTGTACTTCTTAGAACGATCTGTCAACTTTGAAATTTTATAATTTAATCCTCCGTTTCTTTCAAAATACCAATTAAATCCAATACTTTATAATTTCTTAAATTTAGCCCCTAAATTGGGGTGTTACAGTAACATTGGAATCCATGCTCTCACAAATAAAGCCCTTGCTCTTTGGAAGCTATCTTAACCTTTCACGCATATGGACTTGGAAAATAGATACTTCATCGTTAGATTTCAAAACAAGAGTGACTACGAGAAAGTCCTCGCAGAGGGACTGTGGATTATCTATGGTCAGTATCTGACCGTAAAGCCTTGGACAAGAAAATTCAGCACTTCCTGGGTGTACCCCACCACATCTTGGCATGGATTCGTTGGTCAGGTTTGCTTGAATTTATGTTTAATAGGAAAATTTTAACTAGTATAGGTATGCTTGAATTTAGGATTCGTAAAGCCTTAATCCCAGAACGCATTACCCACTTCATCTGATCTGGATTTTCCTCATCAAAAACATTGTCATAATTTCAACAGTTGAAAATGTCTCAGAAACTGTGATGAGAAGCAGGAGAGTATATCTTACGAGGCAATAAATTAATTTTTTTGGAAAGATTATGACGCGATAAATAAATAAATAATAAAGCATAAAACAGAGCCAACCCAAGCAGCGAAGTGAGCGGAGAATAAGAGCGAATCAAACGACTGGTTATTCGGCTCTATAAATACAATCTCATTTTCCCTACATTCCATTTCCTCTTCCACCTCATTTTCTCTTCTTTCACTTCTCATACAAGGTACTCTACATTTTCTTTTCTTTCTTTTTTATTCCTTTTTTTTTCTAAATTCACGCTGATTATTTTCTATTTGAATCTCTTCTACATTTTGATTGTAGATTTGTTATCCATATTGTTTTTGCAATCGGATTTGCGTTATGTTTAAAGTTAAACGACTTAATATATGAATGTTGTAGATTTGGAATGCTTTTTGTATTATGTTTGTAGTTCGATCAATTAATTGATTTCCAATTCTTAGGTGATATGATTCTTTGACCTTTGGTTTTTCCGCGAAAAGTACGATCTGAATGCAGAAGCAAATTGTTTGTTTGTGAATTTTTTATTGTGATGGATAAAATTGCATGATTTAAATTTATTTAAATTACACTAACTTTTAATTGGTTAGATGTGAATTTGGACATTTAACGATTTCATCACTGAATTGCTATTTTTTTATAATTGGAAATTATTTCTGTTTAAATCTAATTAAAGTACAAAAATATGAATTTATGTGTGTATTTTTTTTTCTTTTAGAAACTTAACGAAGCAAAAAGCAAGTATAACCACAATGAATAGAGCATTATCATGTCAAGTGTAGATATGAATTTTTTTTCATCTCTCTATAATAGTCCTATACATATGTGGATAAAATTTCTTTTAGAGATTATTACTATGTCTTTGTGTAGCATCACTTTTGTTGTTTGTGAACTTGATTTTTCATCGCAGTGAAGTCAATCTAATGCATTATGATGTGAAATGCAGATATGGATACCTTCTTATTTACTTCCGAATCAGTCAATGAAGGTCACCCCGACAAGATCTGTGACCAGGTTTCAGATGCTATCCTTGATGCCTGCCTGGAACAAGACCCAGAAAGCAAAGTGGCTTGTGAGACTTGCACCAAGACGAACATGGTTATGGTCTTCGGTGAGATCACGACCAAGGCCAAAATTAACTATGAGAAAATTGTTCGGGATACTTGCAGAGGTATAGGGTTCACATCAGCTGATGTTGGCCTTGATGCTGACAACTGCAAAGTTCTAGTTAACATTGAGCAACAAAGCCCTGATATTGCTCAAGGAGTACATGGCCACCTGTCCAAGAAACCTGAGGAAATTGGGGCTGGTGACCAGGGTCACATGTTTGGTTATGCGACGGATGAAACCCCTGAGTTAATGCCTCTAACCCATGTGCTTGCAACTAAGCTTGGAGCCAGGCTCACTGAAGTGAGAAAGAACAAGACATGTCCATGGTTGAGGCCTGATGGTAAGACCCAAGTGACTGTTGCGTATAGAAATGATGGTGGAGCCATGGTCCCCATTCGTGTTCATACTGTTCTTATTCAACCCAACATGATGAGACCGTCACCAATGAGAAGATTGCAGCTGACTTGAAGGAGCATGTCATTAAGCCAGTTATTCCAGCAAAGTATCTAGATGAGAAAACCATTTTCCACCTCAACCCATCCGGTAGGTTTGTCATCGGTGGACCACATGGGGATGCAGGACTTACTGGCCGAAAGATTATCATTGATACGTATGGAGGCTGGGGTGCACACGGTGGTGGTGCTTTCTCTGGGAAGGATCCCACCAAGGTGGATCGCAGTGGTGCATACATTGTGAGACAAGCAGCAAAGAGCGTGGTGGCCTCAGGCCTTGCACGTCGCTGCATCGTTCAAGTATCCTATGCAATCGGAGTTCCAGAGCCCTTGTCGGTTTTCGTAGACTCATACAAGACAGGCAAGATCCCTGACAAGGATATATTGGCATTGATTAAGGAAGCTTTCGACTTCAGGCCGGGAATGATCTCTATAAATCTTGACTTGAAGAAAGGAGGAAACTTTAGGTACCAAAAGACTGCTGCTTATGGTCATTTCGGCCGTGATGATCCTGATTTCACTTGGGAGATCGTTAAGCCTCTTAAGCCAAAGGCCTGAGTTACCACCGTAGCCATAATGTCATCGGGGTAGATATCTGTCAATTTGTTCCATTCTACATTCTTTACTTTGGATTTCCTTTTCAGGGCATGATTGGTTTCATCAACCATTTCTCTGGTTTGCCATGGATTTTTTAATTTTATTTTTATTGTTTAATCATTCAATTCAATTTGCTTTTTCTATTATTCAAATATTGTTGAGGTACAAATGCTGTCGTTAGCTCTACCTCCTGGGTAATGGATGAGTTGAAATTCTTTTGTATTTCGAAATATTAGTGCAATGCAATTACAGCTTATCTATATTTATATTGGCTTTTAATTCAACTTCGACGTGTACATCTAGTATAACCTATTAACATTGATCTTAAATTTCGATTTTAAGTAATTATGTTTGTAGATGTATTGCACTCATTATCAATTAATTAAAAAATTCTAGATAAATATTTTCTTGAAATAAAAAATATGCATTTAATATATATAACGTTTGTACGTCAGATGGATCAAAGTTTTTAAAGGTCGGTTATGCATCTAAGCATATAACAAAATTCTAAACTGAGAATTTTTTAAGATTTTCTTTTTTATATTTTGACGAATCTTTTTAAATTTATTAATTTTTATTTTTATTACACAAAAATATTTGATTAGATCATATTATTTTTCTTAACGATATATAATGATAATATATGAATAAATAAATAAATAAAATACACACTTTGACTAAATTGAGAGTTAGATTAAAACATGTCGAGAAAATAAGTATAAAAAAAGAAATAACGAAATAAAATTATGGTAGTGTACGTGAAAATTCAATAATGAGAATGCTCAAGAACAACAAAGGGGATTTTAGAAGATAGCATCGTTTTTCAAAAGTTGGAGACGTTAAACATTTTCTATTGTGTCCCAAAGTCATATTTTTGTCTTATATTAAGTTGTACCACAACAGAATCACTCTAAACACAAAGAATCTTACTACAAGCACCACACTTGAAATGGACATAAACAATTTCAAAAAAATTATTGAAATTACCTCTAATCTACTTTTATCCTTAAATTTTATATTTCTCATAGTAACTATCCATTTCCAAAATTTACACATTTTTCAAATCATTTTTCCACTTCGTCACAAATATTTTACATCAAATAACTTATATGTGTAATAGTTAAACTCGACACGAACTTGGATACCTCTTTTTCCATACTTGTTTATCAATATGATTGTTAAAACTCCTGATAAATCTTGTTACTCTCAGACTAAGTGGAGAACAAGCTACAAGATTCTTCGTCTTGATTGATCATTCGTTAGCACACACTCGAAAGTATAACACTTCTAAATTTGACATCGATTCATGACTCAACAGATCAATTATCACATTTGCCTTACTCAAATGATAATTTATAACATAATCATATTCTTCAGTAGCTTAACTCACGTGCGTTATCTCAAGTTCTATTCTTTTTGAGTAAGTAAATACTTGAGGCTCTTGTGCTCAATGAAGATGTAGCATTTCTTTGCAATAAGATGATATCTTCAAATATTAAAGGCAAACACCATCGTTGTAAACTCTAAGACATGAGTGAGATAGTTATGCTCATGCAGTTTAAGCTGACGAGACACATAAGCAAATACCCTTCCCTTATGTATCAAAATACACCTGAAATCATTCAATGAAACAATAATACTATATAATCTTTATCATACTCCAAATGAATTAACAATGAGTCCTATGTCAAAATTACCTTACACTGATTGAACCACTATTGAAGCTTTTTATTTCACATGAAATGAACTCCTTTCTGAAATAACTTAGTCATAAGAGAAACAATCATCGAGAAATCTTTGACAAATTGACATAATATCTTACAAGTCTAAGGAAACTATAAACCTTGGATACACTATGTAATAGTTCCCACTTAATCACTACCTGAATCTTTTGCGGGTTAACCTAAATATCGTAATGCAACAGTATGACCTAAGAATGATACCTCGGACAACTAAAACTCGTACTTGTCAAGGTTGGCATACAACTATCACTCTCGAAGTGCCTGAAGCACAATACGAAGATATCAATCATGATCTCCCTTTGACTACGAATACACAAGGATATCATCCATAGACGCTCATATAAATTACTTGATATAAGGGTGAAAACCCTATTCATCAAATCCATAAACTCTATCGGCGTTTTTGGTGAGCTTGAACGACATATAAAGAAATCATATTGACCATACCTAGTCCTAAAGGTCATCTTTGTAATGTCAATATCCTTAACCTTCAACTGATAATATCATGATCTCAAATCTATGTTAGTGAACACTTAGGCTCTCCTAAGCTAGTTAAACAAATTATCAATCCTTGAAAGTGGATATCATTTCTTCAAGGTTAACTTATTCAACTGATGGTAATCAATGCACAACCTCATTGATTCTTCTTTCTTATTAACAATATTTATTCTCCCTAAGAAGATATACTAGGATAAATGAATCTCTTCTTAAGAAAATCCTAGATATGAGCCTTAAGCTCATTTAACTTTGTCATTATCATGTGATAGAGAGAAATGGATACCAGAGCTGACCCTGATATAACCTCAATATTAAACTCTAACTCTCGATCTTACTATAATTCGAGGAAATCCCTCTTGACACAAATTTTATAGGAGCATTGGTCTTTAAGTTTGCGGCAACTTTAATTCATACGTAAGCCAAATATTCATTTAAGAACAACTTTTAAGTCTTCAACAACTTCAATATTTTACATAATATTCATGGAAGTATCGTTTGACCGATCGGGCATATAACACCCATCTCCCGTATACCTTTTCGTACACGAGATACAGATGTCACATCACTTTTAAAACATTTCCTCATTTGAAAACCCGTAAAATTTTGTTTCCAGATTTCTTAAAACATAACATTTGTTTTATGTACAACAAAACATTAATTGGAATATGTTACGATATTATACTTAAATACAATTCAGAGCATTTTTCGTACTTTCATTACATGCAAACTAAGTTTTTTAAAATAACCCGGATTGTCTTATTATTACTGAACGAGTCAACCTTAACTGATGATAGCTGCTGCTACTGCTGCACTCCTTACTCGGCTAATCTCCACCTTCACCTACGTGTGAAATCAACACACGTTAAATATTTACTTAGTTAGACATAATATTGTAATGAAACATTAATGTATACAAAAATATATCATGATTATTTGGTTTCGAACTAATTCATATCATCCATAAGGATTAGATAAGTCTCTATTATATAAACCAAATTTCTTTCATACTATAATCATAAACATTCTTAGTATGTCCAACATACCTTTCTTTCTGTACATTTTTCTTATTATTCTTTAGTAATCATTCATTATTTTCATTTATGGAATCCTTCCATGCCTTTAATACACAGTTATGCATTTCATTTATGGCATCCTTTCATGCCTTTAATGCACCATTATGCATTTCATTTATGGCATCCTTTCATGCCTTTAATGCACCGTTATGCATTTTATTTATGACATCCTTTCATGCCTTTAATGCACCTTTATGCATTTCGTTTATTGCATCCTTTCATGCCTTTAATGCACCGTTATGCATTTAATTTATGTAATGAAAACATATTTGTTGAGTTAATCGATCAGCAAAAATAGCCAAGAGTGAATTGGCAATTAAAATTTTAGTGGAAGCTTTGACAGAAAATAAAATATTTGCACAACGATTTAGAGTGGTTCGACTTTCTTAACCAAAGTCTACGTCCACTACCTTTGCTATCCACACTAAGGAATTTCCACAAATTCACTAATTTGTCTTTCTTTTGAGGACAAAGAGTAACCTTACAACTACCTAAAGAATTATACCCCAAATTCTTGAGACACTCTCTTCTCAAAGAGAAAATCACAAACTTATAGAAAAACCTCTCAAGGTAAAATGTTTGCACAATTCTAGAACAAAGAAAGAACAATAAAAAATGAATACAATTGAGCACAAATGGTGTTCTTGAAAGAAAAATGAATATTGAATAGATGTTGGCTTGAATTGTTGAAACTTGATGTTTAAGGCTTTCTTTCTTGTTTGTTTTCTCAATTCTTCAATTCTTAATCACCAATGGCTTCAAGACTTGTTTAAATACTCTTGGATCAATTCTAGACATTGGGGATGATCATGGAGTCAATAGAGCCGTTGTAGTGTGTTACCCACTTGAAAGGTCTGCTGGGAGCATATGGGTATCGATACTCTTTCATAGGGGTATCAGTACTACATGTATAAAATTCAAATATTTCGACCATTGCAAACCAACGGTGTCGATATTGGTCAGGGGGTATCGATACTACTTTTTAGTGTAGTATCGATACCGGTCATGGTATCAGTACCCAATTTGCATTATGTTATTTCTCGGAGCAAAAAAAAAGTGGTAGTATCGGTACCATTAACCATGGTATTGGTACTACTATGTATTATGGTATCGATACTGTGTAGGGTATCGATACCTGTTTTAGCTTCAATGTTTGGGGTATCGATACTATTGAGGCAGTATCGTACTACCCTTATGAAATCTTAATTTTGACTCGATTGTGGTTCGAAATACTTTGAAAATTGTTTCAAATATATTTAAAGTATAAATCACAAATTTTCATTTAGTAATGGAAAAATTGATATTTGAAAATTTGAGAAATATTTAAAATATTCGAATAATTGAATCGAATATAATATGTTAAATCAAATATAAAATTTTAAAATTACTTAACACTTTATTTGTTATATCAAAATATCAAAATGTTTTCAACAATATTGAATACCATAAAACATTAAATTAAAACGTTCTAATTTGAATCATTGTGAATCTTCTTCATCTCAAATAAATACAATAAATGTATTCACCTCATAATCCTCGCTAATAAGATGTAATGATGTCGGCTACTCATATAACCCCCTAAGACCGATGCGGGTAACTCGATCCGAAATGGAGTGTCACATTAGGGCCACAAGACGACCCACTGTAAAAATCTCAGAAAATTTAAAACTTTTATTAAAATATATAACTCATAAAATGATTTATCAGTATGCAGAAACAAAAAGATTTTCAGACTCATATATAAAAAAATACAATTACATGCCCCTAATCACATGTATCATACTCTACAAGCAACGCAGAAGAACTCCCTTATTGATATTGATAGTTGCACTGATACAATTCTTTTAACCTGCAATGGTGAGTAATAGAGTGAGCTTTGGAAAGCTCAGTAACACAGAACTACCAGGTGATG